CTATTAATCACTCTTGCTTTAATAGTTGAGTTTGTGGTTCAACTTAATCTTATTTTGCATATAATTAATCACTTTCTTACTACTTAAAGAGCCATTTTCTTTTTAACTTAAATAAATTAGCTTAAACAGCCTTTAGTTTAGTTAATAGCATTTCATGCTTGGTGTACTTACAAGATAAGAAAGATATTGATACAAAGAATAGATGACTGTTCAACAAGCTTGTTCAGAAGTCTTATTAATAGATTAGTTTGTAGGGTTTAGTCCATTAGCCTATAGATAGGTGCTTAACCCTTACCCATGCTACTTTTGAAGCTATTTAGAAGGTAGTTTTCTTCCATCCCATAAATTCTCAAATACTCTCTCCCAAATTATTTTTCAACTCTGTTCTTTGCCGCTGATAGTCATCGCAGAGATGTTTTATTAAACTGTAGGAATAGTTCTTCAATGAAAGTGAATTGTCTTTAAAGTGTTCTATATAATTCCTCTTCCTTTGAAGAGAGCTGATGGAAACGATGCTTCTTCATTACATATGCAGATAGTCATGAAGCAGTGGAGGGACCTACAAGCAATCATCAAAGACTAGGACCAGCTGGACTTTCTTTACACTATGCAAATATAATCCTCCAAATTGATAGTCTTGTGAGTGTACTACTCTATTCTGTCCTTTTCTTGCATTTCACATGATACTGATGAAAATAAAGAGTTTTACCGTTGCATCATTTACTTGTCTGTTTTTACTCTTTCAGACTTTATCTGGGTGTATTAAACTAATATGAACAATGTTTAGGGTAGCAAATCATAGAGATTGGGGGGATTGTTGATGATTCCACAAAACTCAGGCATGAGATGGCCTGAACTTCCGAATATAAGGATATGCTTTCAATATGAATGTTGAGGGAGGAAATTATCTTTATTATTGTTTGTTCGGGGGCTTTGGCCCTCCTTAGCAATGAGAGAAAACAAAATGTTTCATCATGTTTTGGAAGGAGGTACGATAATTTGGTGCCATATTACTTAGAAAGGTAGGTTGCTTAATCAAAGTTGGTAAGTTGAACAAGGAGACTTTTCTCTTTCTCGTTCTTTCCTCTTTCTTTCAAAAAAAAAAAAAAAAAATCCATTTTGGTCCTTTTTGTGCATGAAATTTGATGGAGTACATTTAGAAACTTGCTTCAGCTTTTCAAAGGCATGTGGAAACATAGGATGGTGGTGCCTGTTACAAACAAAATGGTAGATACCCAGTAATCTTGACTTTGTCTTTGTCATCAAATTTGGTACATACACCATGGTCATTAGGTCTATACCATTTTGTCTGTATAACTTGTGTCAAAACTTATGCATGACTCTCTACCATATAGAAACATTATCGGTCTAACAGAATATATAATACATTGTAAAGTCAAGATAATATGAAGAGATACTCTGAAGTTCAAACCATAATGTAGACGTCGTTTTTGTTGTTAAAATTTAAATATAGTACACCATAAAGTCAAAATAATATAAAGAGGTACTCTGAAGTTCAAACCATAATATCGATGGCATTTTTTTTTTTGTTACGCCTTATATAGTTGTCTTTACGGACTATTATTGGAGATATTTGGTGCAGTCCTAACTTAGCATTCACGCTCCAAGTGGCTTCTTTATCAGGGGTCGAGCGTTGCACTTTCTCATGGTGACCCTAGATATTTCTCATTGCACTAATGACATATGCATAATCAAACAAATAGATTATGGGTTTTATAATCAAGTTATTTAGTTTGGCACGCACTGACATTACGCAATTTATGTAGATTAAATTATGGTATTCTAGCAGGTAACTTCAGATCTTTGGGCTCAGCTGCTCAGGGATAAAATTATGGGTATTATCTATTGCAAAAGATATGTATGTTTTTCTGACTCTGCTTCGGTGTATATAGGTAGCCAAGTCAAGTTCTATGCCTCAAAATACAAAGGATACATTATACCAGAACTTGCCGCCTAATATAAAATCATCCTTGCGCTCCAAATTACAGTCTTTTCATGTTAAAGAAGAGGTAATATCTCATTTCTTTATCTTTAGCTATAAAATATATTCCGAGGCCAATGTTCTCTTGCCTATCAGGTTGGTTCTTGTTTGAATGTGCGGTTCAAATTCAGTTAGGTAAATATGTAATTGTATGGCAAGAGAACTTTACTCTATTTCTATATATATAATTATAATAATGCACCTTGAATATGCATAACATAACTTTTGACTGCTTTTGGTGGACAGCGTTTTGGTACTTTGGTTCTTTTGTTGTTGCAAATCATTCTTGGGAGAGATTTGTGTCCACTAAATTGTTCGACTGAATTTTCTTCTGCAGCTTAGTATTACAGATATCAAAGCTGAGATGGAGAAAACTCTACACTGGCTTGTTCCAGTTGCTACAAACACAGCAAAGTAAGATGGCCAGCTGTTCTGCAAAACATACATATCTTTTGTATTTGTGAAACTCTTTTTGTAGCTGTAAGCTGTAACGTTTCTATGTTATTGATCATGGTTTTGTTGGTTTGGATGCAAAAACTAATAACAGAGCGCATCATGGTTTTGGCTGGGTAGGAGAGTGGGCGAGTTCTGGGTGAGCAACAATATACTGCTTGTTTCGAAGTTTGACTTTTACAATTTTTTTCATTTTTGTGTGTTTTGAAGGCTTCACTGTTTCCTTAGTAATTTATACTTCTGCTTTTATAGTTCCGCGTCAAACCGAAAGCCAGTGTTGCAGACTGAAGCGATTCGAATTGAGACATTCCATCATGCAGACAAGGAAAAAACAGAAGCCTGTATACTCGATCTAATCTTATGGCTTCACCATTTGGCTTGTCAAACCAAGTCTAGTGCCGATAACTGGGGGCATGAAGTCACCTGTCAAGTCCACAACCAGTACAACCCTTGTGAAGACAAATAAACAGCTGCCCACCGGTGTTCAACCAAGCATGCTAACAACTGAAGACGCGGAGATGCTGCAGGATGTGAGCAAGAGAAAACGGATTCCAGGTAATAGTAAGAGTCAGGACTTTGACAGTGCCAGCTCCAGTTCAACAGAGGGCCGAAAATTGAGTAAGAGTAACAGCTACTCACACGGGCAAGGAAGTGACAAATTGTTACATTTGAGTAGGCCCTCGTCTGGCGTTGATTTTGGTATCGATAAGGAAAAAGCACTGGATGTTATAGATAGAGTGGACGGACTCACAGTCACATAGAGTTTACAGAATGTTATGTGTTATAGACGTCATTCGGCGGAGACAAGTCAAGTGGTACGTGCGGCAAAGTGGGAGAAATTTAGTGTGCATATTTTCACCATGCTTATACATCGTGAATGTTTCGTCCAAACATGAAAAAAAAAGGGGAAGGAAAATGTACAGTGTGGATGTAGTGAGTGGTGAGTGACTGATTTTCTGAATGAGGGTGTATAGAGCTCAAGGATGGGTGCTTTTGGGCACAAACATTTATATTTGTTTTGTAGATTTTATTTGTTTATTTTTAAATTCTCTGGATATCGATGTATCTGTGTGAGTTATATTGCACTATTACTAGTACAGTAATTCTAATAGGTGCCATGTTGTTGGGTGGTTTTCAGTATAATAGCAAGTTAAACTATTGCGCAAAAATCCTCGACCGGCTTTAATAAAAAAACATTTAATTCATATGACGATGTTAAAGTGGAAGCGAAAAATGATATGTGATATTTATATTCACTTGTTAATCCCGACTATGTTAAGTGGAGGCGAAAAATGAAATGTGATATTTATATTCACTTGTAAATGTCAAGTTGGATATTGTAGCCTAGACTGAAGGAAGGAGAGAGGGTTTGAGAGTAAGTCCGCCGGTTGTGCCTTTGGAGGGCAAGGGCTTTGGAACTGCCCCTTAACCCAAAAACATGCTTCTAGTAGGTCATTTTGTGGAGGGCAATTGGTGGGCCAACACATGCCCGAGCAATTTGAGCCTGGCCTTGTGTCAGCGGGCAAAGCTGACGTCAACATGATATCTGTCACGTTTTGTAGGTACATGTGAATGTAATACACGCGCGAATTGGGTGAGTGGGCTGACAACTTTTGCTGTTGTGGCCCCATTGCTAGAGCTTCAAGAGAATTCCTAACGGCTGCATGACGTGACACGAGGAGCTATTGGACTTCCAACGGTCTGAACCATTAGAAAATTTTTGAAAAAGTTATTATCGTGCCATGTGACGCGTTCTGGAACGTCAGATTCAATAATAAGAAAAATCAAACGGTCAAATTAATTCAATCGTTAAAAATGAAAAAAAAAGGGTAAAAAATAGGAAAGAAATTTAATTTGTTTATTCTATAAATATCCATCTTCTTCATTCGCCTTTTATTTTTAATTAATTATGCTTTTATAATGCTACGTTTTTCTTTATTTTTAATTTACATGCTATTTCATTCGCCTTGTTTTTGTTTTGCCCTTACCCTCCTAAAACGGGGGAACTTACTCTTAGTTACACAAAGAATAAAAGAGGGTTTGAACATGAGAAGTAATGGGCTAACGGGAAGAATGTGTATAATTTTTTGGTTCAAGTAAGGAAGAACATGCACCAATTGCTAATGGTTGATATTTGATTTGAATAAAAAGGACGAGAAGAAGAGGTAGTAGAAGATAATGATCTTGTCTTTGTCTTGCCTCTGCCTTATCTAGCCCTCGCCCTCTTAAAATTGATGGACTTGCTCTAAGTTACAAGAAAAATAAAAGAGCGTTTGGGCCCGACAGCAGTGGATTAACCAGGAAGAATAATATTATACAATAAAAGTATAATTTTTTAGTTCAAAAAAGGAAGAACATGCATGCACCACTTTCTAATGGTTGATATTTGACTTGAATAAAAGAAAGACGAGAAGATGATGCAGCAGAAGATAATGGTTGTTGTTATCAGGTTAAAGCACGCAATAATAACGATTAGTGGGATATGGGATGGGATGCCATGATTTTGATTTGATGGATTCGAATTCTCATTCCACCCCCACATCCACACACCCACACCCCCACACACCCAGCAAGCAACCAGTAGCGCACAACTTCATATTCTCTCTACTCTCCAGTCTCCTCTACTCAACCAAATCCCCCTCTTCTTTTTCTGATCGATCGATATATTTTCCTTTTTTACTCCAGTGGGAAGGTTGTGGACCAACCTGTGCACTAACAATCATGATAAGTTATTTTAATTATTGCTGTTACTGGATTATTGGATTATTTAACTTAAAGGAGTACTTCCTCGTCCTTGTCCTTTGGTGTTTCCTGTGGTCTCCTGGTGTGCCACGCCCATGCCTATGCCTGCCTGAAACCAGCAAGTTCTTGTCTTTCCCTCCATTTGTTTTAGTTTTTTATATTCTCTTTTCTTTTATTTATTCATGTTTTGTGTGTGCCATGCCTCTCTTGTTGTTTTATTTCTCAGGTTTTTAGTGGTTGTGTTTGTATTGGGAGGACTACTAAACTACTCTCTCTCATACATATATTTCTGCCTTTTCTTTTCACCCGAGGGATGATTAATTGGCATTATCATCTGATTCTTCCCACCTTAGACAAGGAGGAATGTTTTTTACTTTCTCGATTCTTATTGGCTCGGTTCGGTTTGGTTGAGTTCTTACTTAGCTAAATGAATTTTGATTCTGGTAAACTAGTTGGAAACGTACATGAATTTGAAGGAGAATTATCTAACTCGATCGGAAGAAAAAACGATCAAATTAGACCTGGGAAGTGGGAACACATACATAATCCTTAAACACAGTTGATTGCAGGGCAAGCAAGTGTCAAATTAGTATCACAATATAATAAGGAAAATTAATGAAAAATACTTGAAAACTTTGAGTTTTAACGATAAGGACAAAATAAAGGGTGAGGTGAATAGTACCATGATTGACTTTTTAGTGTAAAAATGAGGTTTTTCGTTAAAGTGAACAATACCGGGAGCTTTTCGTTAAAGTTTAGTTTCTATTGATTCTGGTGTATTTTGATTTTCCCTCTCTGATTGATTTGAACTCTAGTCTGCTCAAAAGGAGGAGGCTAGAGCCTGGAGGTGAAGTCGGAGACATGTCTCGTGTATTTTCTCGCTCGCATCCTTTCAAGCCAATCATAAAATGGTTAATCTTACTCCTTTTGCCAACAATCGGGTTTGCATCTACAGAGCCAGATGTGGAAGGTATATATACAATGCTAGTGGTATACTCTTTAAGCAAGATTTTTTGGTCGTCGGTACATGTTCTGACATCGTCGATATGCATGGATGTAGTTTATATTTAAGAACTGCATTCTTCACTTTGATAATGTGCAGTTGAAGCATTGACCGATTTGCTCACCGCGTTGAAAGATTCGAGCGGCCGAATAACAGATTGGAATTATAATTTCGTGAGCCCCTGTTTTAGCTGGTCTCATGTCACTTGTAGAAATGGAAATGTCATATCCCTGTAAGTGCATCTAAATGTAACACATGATTTCCAGGTCCTTAATTTTTGTGATCATTGCTGTATTTGAAAGTGATTTTTCTTTGCAGGAGCCTGGCTTCAAATGGATTTTCTGGAACATTTTCTCCTTCGATTACTAAGCTGAAATATTTGGCTAGCCTGTAAGTAAACTTGTCGACGCACATGTATGATTTTCAGAAATTAAGCTTCTGAAACTTGAAGGCATCTGGACCTCACTCAAATTTGTGATGGTATACTTTTTTGGAAACATCATCGACTACTATAAATCTGAGTCATGTTCCTCGCCATCACAGAATACATTGCCTATACATCCGAGCAGCAACTGTTCATATCTCCTTTTTTTTTTTTGTGTCCCCTGTAAATAAACCTTTCCTAATTCTCGTCACACCGAGTTCTAAGCCAAGACATAATCGCTGACTGTCAATATCCTATTTCCCCTAAATGGTGTCGTCCAGAGTGTGCTAGTTTCTCTTAAATAATCTTGCAATACCAACACCTTTATTATTTAGTTGTTTGCTTAGTTCTGAAGATAGTGTTTTTGCATCGGAGTCATGAATTTTGATAAAACAATTTCGTTTATGCAGGGACATCCAGAATAATAATCTAACGGGCTTGTTACCCGTTTATCTTGCAAACTTGACATACCTACAGAATCTAAATCTTGCAAATAATAATTTCAGAGGTCCTATACCAAATGCTTGGGGTCAGCTTTCCAATTTGAAGCATTTGTAAGAGCTGCAATTTCTGTTCCTAGTGAGCTTGTATATCATATGTGCGACATTACGTTCTTGTATGTATTCTGTTATATCCGAGTGTTGCACATTCCTTGTGGTTGACTCAACTGTAAGCAATTCTTGGTTCAGAACCCTGCTGTTGGTCTTGTTCTTTACCGATTCTAAATCTTCTTTTGGCAGGGATCTTTCATCGAATGAGTTGACAGGAAGAATTCCAATGCAATTCTTTACCATTCCAAATTTCAAGTACGATTCCTATCACCAACTCTGATTCTCGATTCCCGCTGCTGCATTATACATTGTTAATGCCTCGTTATTAACTGTTTATTAATTTTTTTTTTTCCCATACAGTTTCACAGGATCACATCTTGATTGTGGTTCTAGCTTGAAGCAGCCTTGTGTTTCTGGCTCTTCTCTCCGAGGTTTATACTTTGTTCAACTCTACTGTTTCGGTTTACCAATTATGTTTGAATTGCCTAGGAATAACCTAATACTTCAAAATTTGGCAGCTTCAAACAGGAAATCAAAACTTGGAACAGTTATAACTTCAGCAAGTTGCAGTGTATCAGTAATTCTGTTGATTGGGGCTCTTTTCGCATATCGATACTATCGCATGCACAAACTAAAATATGATGTCTTTGTTGACGTTGCAGGTAAATTTTCCTTACCTTTTAACTTTTGCGATCAGTTTTTCTCTCTACTAAGCATCGTTATGGAAAATTAAATTGAAATCATCTCAACCGAATTAAGTTAGAACCTATCATGTCCCTTTCACAAGGTAAGAATTGATTTGTACGAGGTTAGTAAATCAGATGAATAAATATTTCTTACCGATAAACTGCATTGAACGTTCCAAATGCATGAAATTCAGGTGAAGATGAGTGCAAAATTTCCTTTGGCCAGTTGAAAAGATTCTCTTGGCGTGAAATTCAGCTTGCCACGGATAACTTTGATGAAAGCAACATAATTGGACAAGGAGGCTTTGGCAGAGTTTACAAAGGTGTCCTCTTAAACGATGTACATGTTGCAGTGAAACGCCTTACTGATTATAACAGTCCTGGTGGAGAGGCTGCATTCCTTAGAGAAGTACAACTCATTAGTGTTGCAGTTCACAGGAATCTTTTACGGTTGATTGGATTTTGTACAACCCCATCCGAGAGAATCCTTGTTTATCCGTTCATGAAAAATCTTAGTGTTGCATATCGCTTGAGAGGTATGTCCCCAAACGAGCATTGCGTGAGTTCAATTTTCTATTTCCTTGTTTCATAAATGAGTGGCTTGGAACGCAAGCATGTTTTCAACCATAATTTGAACTTCTATTTGTGCTTGACTGTTTAATATTTTGATTATACATTTTATCCCTGATATATGTTTCAGATCTAAAACCTGGTGAGAAAGGGTTGGATTGGTCGACAAGGAAGCATATTGCTTTCGGTGCAGCCCATGGTTTGGAGTATTTACACGATCATTGCAATCCAAAGATAATACACCGTGACTTGAAGGCTGCAAACATTCTTCTAGATGATAAATTTGAGCCTGTTCTTGGAGATTTTGGGCTAGCAAAGCTGGTTGATACAGAATCAACTCATGTTACCACTCAAGTACGCGGAACCATGGGGCACATTGCCCCGGAGTATTTGTCCACCGGAAAATCGTCAGAAAAGACCGATGTTTTTGGATACGGTATCACACTTCTCGAACTTGTCACTGGTCAGCGTGCAATAGATTTGGCTCGGCTGGAAGAAGAGGAGGATGTTCTTCTGCTTGATCATGTGAGATTTATAGTCTCTTTTTATAATTTCTCGAACTCTTTCGCCATATGTACAAATACTTCAATGGGATTTTTTTTCCTGTTAAAGTGGTACGTTTTATGGTTTAGGGTAAATTGTCGTTTTAACTTCAAACTTATTCGGGTTCCAATGCAGCTCTCGATATTTTGGGAACAAGTTTCAACCACATTGAACTCTTATTTCATATTTAGTGCTTTAATTGTTGCTACTTTCTGTTTGTTGTGTTGAATGACCTAAATACGATGTCGACAGATCAAGAAGTTGCTGAGAGAAAATAGGCTTGACGACATTGTGGACAGAAACATGAAGATGCATGATCCAAAAGAAGTTGAGACCGTCATTCAGGTTGCGTTGCTGTGCACTCAAAGCTCACCAGAGGACCGTCCAAAAATGGCAGAAGTTGTTAGATTGCTACAAGGAGTGGATCTAGCAGAGAGATGGGCCGAGTGGGAGCAGCTTGAAGGTGTAAGGAATCGTGAATTCTCACTCTTGTCTCACCAGTTTGCTTGGGCTGAAGAGTCTACACATGATCAAGAAGCTATACAGTTGTCCAAGGCAAGATAGTGTTCCTTAATAATTAGATGCTCTAATCTAAATTAATCCAAAAACTCCACTTCATATCTCGAATATTACAAATTATTAATTGTCTCATATCTTAGTAATAATTATATAAATCTGTGTGTAAAGATATATAAGAGAGGAGAAAGGAAAAGAAAGGTGTGGGATATCATACATGCGTTTGGAACATGTTCTTATGGATATGGTCTGTATATGCATGAGATATTTCTTTAGGTGTTGAGTCGGATTGAACCAAGAAACTTGATCATCAATTCATCTTTCCAATAACATCCATTATTCGATTCGATTTGGAGGCAGTTGTTTCGGAAAATTCACTTTTGTGTGTTCGGAATCGGAAACAAAGTAAAGTTTCCCCAAATTGGCATTTGAAAGAAGATAAATGCTAGTTTATTAACAGTACTAGCTTCAGTTGAACGCCTTGTAGTTAGCCACACTTAACAAGTTTCGATTCGTTTAGGATTATTTATAAGAATATATTTGTTGTAATCCAACTTTTTATTTATTTTATTTTATCTGACATTGATTTTAGAAACTTCAGCGGTACGAAAGAATATTATCGTCGTAAACGAACTTGATCTGTTTGGCTAAAAGTCAGAAGAAAAAAGTTGGCAAACCATCATCACCTTCAATTCTCTGTCAAACTCATATCTCTTACATGAAACGCATAAAACGAATTTGTCGTTGTAACGCTTGATCCTAATTGAAACCCATAGATTGGGACGTGTCGCTCTATATTGCGCCAAGGCGCCATATGGCCCCATATCGCTATTTCTGCCATGCAAAATCTTGAAAGCTCCCTTGGTCTATAGGAAAACCCTATGCCCAAAATGACAATGAGCCAGAGTTGATTAAAGATAGAAATCTTTTTAGGGAGACTGAATTCGGATCCTATACATTGACATCTTGTGACTAAAATCTTAATGGTTTTCAATTTTTTGATCAAAGCAATGTCATCATTAGGGATGTGAGCCTAATTTCTTCTTCTTTTTATCAACACATAACAATTCTCGATCCCCGAAATGGGTGGATAACTGTGGCTTACCACTTGTTGTCCCCCTTATAAAAAAAAAAAAAAAAAAAAAAAAATTCAACACATAACAATTGATTTAGTTACATCCAATGCAAATCGAGAAAGCAATATACAATTACAAACAATTTATGGGGACTGGCTATAGTACTTACAAGTACTTAGTACCATCGTACAAGGGGTGATAAGTTGTGAAACATACTAATGATTCCCTTAAAAGGAGAGAGAAGATGTACATAAGGAAAATGTTCGAAACTATTCCAATAATTTAAGAGATGAAAGAGTTTCAAATCACAGATACATGAGTAGAAACTCAACACACTATTCACCAGTATAATGCACCGCATGCAATAAGAAAGCTAGACCACCTGAGTGGCACCACTTGATGGATGGTTATGTCGGTGTGACGTGTCATCGGAGTAAAGCTCATGCCTAGTAGCATCATACTTCTCACCGTCACCCCACAATGCGTATGCCTCTTCCCCATGCACTGCGTCGTCCCCGATCAGCAATTGTTCCTCCGGCATACGCAACGGAACTACAAACCTTAAGACGATGCAAATAATGGAGGTGACCACAAGGTTCCATCCAATGATAAACAGCCCTCCTACAATCTGCTTGAGGATTTGCATGCCTCCTCCGTAAACCCCTCCACGTGAGTTTGTGACAGGTAAAAAGAGTGCACACAGTTGGGGCTCTGCGAAGAGACCCGTTAAGATGCCGCCAAGAAAGCCGGCCACAGCGTGGGTGTGAACTACGCCGAGGGTGTCGTCAACTGCGGATAACATTTTCCACCTCTTGTCTACGATCATCATTGTGAACCATGGCACACTGCCTGACATAATTCCCATCACTATAGCGGCCCATCCTTGAACAAGACCTTATTCAATAGCATATACACGCGACAATTTTCTATCAGTACTTTATGGTTTAAAAAAAATAAGAAGAGAGTATATAGATATAGATGCAGGGGGATAACAATCCTAAGGTATGCTTGGGTGAGGGACTTCTAAATTCTAAGACATTTAGGCAAACTGAAGAAGAAACGAATCACAAAAACTTATCTAGAAGGAATTAGAAATGCATTATATGAGTATTACAAAGATATGTAGGAAGAATTTATAAATGACTCATTCTAAATAGTCATCTGTAAATCCCTCACATATACCTTTTGTAATGCTCATATGGTGTATTTCTAACTTTTCTGTCATTTAATTTTTTGTGATCTATTTTTTCATCACTATACTTAAATCCATTAGAATTTGGAAGTTCCTCACCAAAACATTGTACATTATAATCATGATTTTCTTTTTCTGTCTTTCCGCACACACACTAACGTAATAATTTTTTGATTTAATTACATTGTGGACTCTTGTAAATAGCTCCAAACCCATAGAAGTGCAAAGTATAAATAGGAAATATTTTTGTTTCAATATTAAATTCAAAGAAAACTTTTAATTAAAATATCATATTTTTAGTTTAAGTACAGTTGGAAAGTCAACCAAAACAATTCTATACATATTACTATAATGCAAAATAATTACAATGATTGCCACTCAATCCTATTACATTTTCCGACTGCTCAAATATTTTTAGCAACTGAAAGGTCAAATTTTTCAATCTCAAGGTCATGGTCCAAAAATGACTTTAGAAAAATGTAAAATGATGAAACAGTTGCACATATTGTTATTTTTTATACCATTATTGCACAATGACTTAAAATTTTCCGCCAATTGGAAAATTTTTCAACATCAATGACGGTGACTTGCAACAATTTCCGTCATTTGTGCTGGTGGCATATGTGCCATGTGCCATAGGGCAAATGTATATGTTCATATGCATAAGTGTTGGTCTACAAATTGTGACGTATATAATCCAAATAGAATTAGTTGGACTTGATAATTTCATTTTTCCTTAAAACCTATACAATGAATTGATATTTAATCTGAATATGCTCTATAATTAGATTTTTTTTTTTTTTTTTTTTTTTTAACAAAGGATGTAGGTATGTATGAAATTAGACGAAAAATAAGTGTCAACTTTGCTTAACTTGTTTTTAAGGTGCCTCGCTAGTTATATAAGACATATATACCTGCACCAGGAGTAATGCAGACGAGGCCAGTGATCATTCCCTGGACAGCTCCGATGACGGAGGGCTTGTCGAACAAAATGACATCAAGCATAGTCCAGACCAAGAGGCTCGTTGCAGCGCAGATGTTGGTGTTGAGGACGGCCATCGACGAGTCCGTGTTTGCCGCGTACGGATCTCCGCCGTTAAAACCCGCCCATCCCATCCACAGCAACCCGGCTCCTGCCAACACCAGCAGTACATTGTTTGGTGGAAATCTCTCCCTGTCATTCGTCACTCTTGGTCCTACCTGCATGTCAATTCATACAATACAACCTTATATTGTCAACTCTTACAATACAAACTTACATGTCCGTCCACATCTCACAATACTATATTACACATAAATATAAAAAAATTATGACCACGTCCAGGGTCCACCCTTGTAATGCTGGTATTAATCTAAACCCTAATTAAGATTCAAAATTAGCACGCAACATCTTAAGCACAAAGCTTGCAACTACGACATATAATACTAATTCATATAGAAATATTTTCTTTTTGTTTATTTGCAATTAGATGTGTTTTTATTATTTTGATGTCCACGTCCACGGTCCAGCAGGGTTGAGTAATTTTTAATCTAAACCCTAATTAAGATTCAAATACTGACATCCAAGCACAAAGCATGCGGCTGCAACTTCAATTAACGCAGCATGATCTGGAATTCATTCTTTAAGCTCCTAGTCAAATCAACTTTGTCCTTCCAACACGTTATACCATCCATATAGACAACTGTTTTTTTTATGAAGAGAAAGCACAATTTGTATGATGGAGTTTTGAACATATACTCATTAATTCTTTTTTTTTTTTTTCCATGGTTACAGGAACATAGTTAGAATGGAAAAACTTTTTGTAAAGGAACAGTGTATATCTCTAGAGAGTTTGACCCGGCCCATTTTCTTGAAACAGTCTGTATATCTCATCGCCATTAAGATAAACTTGTTGTAAAGGAAAAAATGGTTTTATTCTAATTAAGTGCGTAACGATTTTTGAATTTGATGAATTTTTGTAAAGATTAATGAAGTAAGAAACAAATATTCAACAGTTGAATTGTCAAAATTCATTATAAATTAGGCCCCATAAGAAATCCCTCAAATAAATTTATTTGCTGAATCCTTCAACGGAATGACCCACATATGTACAGGAGTCTAACATGTGAAATGACAAACTGTTAATGTGATTACATCAACTATCACTATTAAAATTAATTCTTATTTGAATACAGTGCATAATTGCTTGTATAAGAAAGGAATTAAGATTCTCTCTCCCTCCTCTTTCTATCATCTTTCATTCCCTTCTCTTACATTTTCTTATTTTATTTTTCTTTTGTTATCTGTACTAATTAATGAAATATTTTTTGTTAACCAAAAGATAGTGAAAAAATAAATTAGTTTTCTATCACATAAAAAAATATGATAGGCAATAATGTAATTTCATAAGTCCAATTTTTTTTTATTGAAGTATCACTACAAGTGCTGTTAAAATACCTTCAATATTAAAAAATAAAAAAACAAAAACCTCTCACTTCCCCCCCCCCAACGTTCTCACGGTCTCTCCCCTTCTCATTTAAAAAAAAAAATGTTCATACATACAAAGTGTTTAGGTAAATACTAATGAAAAATAGTATAAGATATTGACATAATTTAACTATGATTGTTCAAATATAAGAGAAAGAAAGAAAGAAAAGAAAAAACAAAAGAGAAAAGAGAATCCTATTTCATGTCAAAGAACTAGTGTGATTGATAGCTATCTAGTGCAACACAACCTAAAAGACACCGAACGTCAAATCAAATAATTAATAATTTTTGGAAGATACAAAAAGAAATGAAAATTTAAATCTCCACTCAATCATGCAAATTAAAGAATAATGTTAAGAAGATTAATTTTTAAATTAAATAATTTGTTATTGAAAGGAAATAAATACGTTAATTAATATTTGAATAATAGTTTAATCATCAATAATTACATCATTTGATTTGCAAATTTGATTTAAATTTTTGATCTTCCTAACATTAGTCAAAATTAAAATAAGAAAACAAGTTAAAGGAAAGCCAGTATTTTCTGAATGAGATTCTCTTCGGATTCTTTTTGTGATGATCCTGAAAACCTTCTAATTAT